GCAAATTTGCAAAATTTAGAATCCTCAAAAATTTTGCAAAAAATAAATAAATAAATAAATAATAATAATAATAATAATAAAAATAACAAATAAATAAATAAAAATAATAATAATAATAAAATTTAAAAGACCCTATGCTAGTCTGCTGGATTAGCTCTACAATGACTTACTTGGTTGGACAGTGAACACTGATACAATGGAGCATGTGTAGCCACATTGATCATGAGCCTCTAATCTGAACGGATAATAACCAGGAGAGAGTGATGAGGTACTGAATGTATAATGAACCATTACCTGGAGAAAAGAGGGAGGGAGAAAAAGGAGAATTGAGAAGAGAAAAACACATAATAAGATCAAGTAAAACGTGTTTTTTAAAGAATGGCCGTAACTCAAAAAATTGAAGTCGGAATTAGCTCAAACTTTCTACACAGCACAAGGACATCAATGTGTATCAAAAAATTCAATAAAAATTTGGGGTGATTTCGGAGCCATTTTTTGGAAAAAACCATGGGCTATAGCCTTGGGTATTTTTTGAATATCAGCATTTTCTTAAAACGGTTGTAACTTAGAAAATTGAAGTCAAAATAAGCTTAAACTTTCTACACAGCATAAATTCATCAATATGTATCACAGAGTGATGGTTAGTGTGCCTATGCCCATTAATCATTATCAATATTAATCCCCAGTGATGACTTACATTGGTGAGATGGTAGGTTGGCTATTGAACAGTTAACGGTAGCTTCTCTATTGCAATTAGTACTAACAGCAACAGTGTATGGAGCAGTGCCTTGAGATAAGTTTAGATGACAATGAAGAACAGTTGAAGCTGTAAAATAAAGAAAAGAAAAACAATTAAAAGATTGCACACACAAAACTTTTATTACAATTTTTGTAAATTTTATGGCCTAACACACAATGCTAATATAAAGCTATTGCTATAAAGAAATTATCTACGAGAAATGAGGTGTGCATTGAACAACCTAGTAATAATTTTAAAATAACAAAATTAACCTTCAATCTATAGTAGCTTTAGAATCAAGGGATTCACAACCCAATGTGGCAATAGTAGATGCTTAAGCAATACACTCCACAGAGCAAAATTTTCAAAGGACATATGCATGTATGTATAATGTACATTTTATAAATTTTGTCTAAAAATCTATTCTGCAGGTTTCATTCCCTCGAATATACGTTGTATATCTAATGCTATTATTAAATTCATTTTCACAGATTTTACATGTACATGTATCTCGATTCAAAAATTGTCACAAAATTTACAACCATTACTGTAAAATGAAATCTCTGAATGTACACACTTATTCCTTGAATAGTGTCTGTTCCTAAAGCATTTCTTAATTGCATTCTTTCAGTGAAATGTGGGACAAAACAAAGTGTGAACACTTTGCAGCATACAGTGGAGCAGTGAGCATTGGTTGATAAAGAGCGACTGTGTATATAAAGCCCTCAGGCAATAGTAGAGCATTAATTTAAAATAATAAAAATAATAAAAAATAAATAAATAACATATATGTACATGCAATACAATGTAGTTAATGATATTGTTCTAATTCTTTTAATTATATTTATTTTATTTACGTATTTTTGGAGCTGATTCTAAATAGAAGTTGTACTCCTCAGTAACTGATAAACTTTTTTGGATGACGATAGCATTTGACACTGAGGGTGTGGTTACCAATACCAATGACATTAGGATCAGTACAATACTCATTGAAACCTGTAGGAGTAGGAGAGAGGGAGGGAGAGAGAGAGGGAGGGAGAGGGAGAGGGGGGAGAGAGAGGGAAGGAGAGAGAAGGAGGGAGGGAGGGAGAGGGAGAGGGGGAAGAAAGAGAGGGAGGGAGAGAGACTGATTATAAATGAACATGTACAGTGCATGAGTAGTACAATGAACATTATGTGTACACAGGGAAAAGAGAGCCATTAGTACCTTTGATCATGTAGTCACATAAATATATTAATGTTTGTTATATTTGGGCTGACATGTTCAAAAAAATACATCATGAGAATGCTATTTTACTTTTTCTTCAAAATTAGAGCAAATCACAATATGTGAACAAATTAAAGCCAAATTAACACAAGGTCCTTTTAAATGTGAAAATAAAAAATGGAGATTTAAAAATAGGGTCAGAGATTAAGCAACAGAGAGAGAGAAAAGGAGAGAGAGAGGGAGAGAGAGAGAAACTAACATGTAGATTAATCCTGGGCCCTCTACAAGAACAGCATGCATCATTAACCAGGAAGCTCTGAATGGAATAATCAGTGTACCATATTGATCAACAGTACTGGGGAGGAACTGGATCCTGAATAGAACTAGAGGGAGAGAGAGAGAGAGGAAGGGAGTATGAAAATAACATGTGATTAACACAAGTTACATAACGACTATCACATTGTTCCAATAAAAAAGGGAAGTGACTATAAATGTAAAAGTACATGTACACGTAGATGTATGTATAAATTTGGAAAATTCAACTCAATACATTTACATGGTAAAATCATTTTTAATTTATAATATTAGACTTTAGTATACAGTACTTAAATGCACATTTCTTGCATTTTATCATCTAACATGTAGTATGCTGTCTTTGAGTCTTTAGTACAAGTATACACTATTAGCATATTCATGTACTGTAACTTAACTTAAATGTACAATATACAAATGTACCGTACATGCACAGCTATCAAAGGATTAAAAATTAATTAGAAATATCGTCATGGTTCATATTAATAAAAAAGATAACATATTAGGAGAGACCAATTCCTTACTGTATAAAATACCCTCTAAAAATGTCCAATTACATAGAAGCAGGTATATTAATACTGATATGTATACAGAAGTACAACAAAAATAGTGTAGTTGCAATACCAACATATTATAAATTAATTAATTTTTTAACAATGTACATGTACATTTGAGAGGAACCAAAGAAAAATGATGAAAATGGCAAAGGAAAAAGTGAGAGAGAAAAAATATGAAAAACAAGCCATGTTTAGAAATTAAAGAAATTAAAGAGAAAACAAGATAATAATTGGCAAGGCAAAAATTGAGGGATGAAAAATATGCTTAGAAATTAAAGTTAAAGGACTTTGCACATGCACCAATACAAACATGCATATAAAAGAGGCAATAGAATAAGAAATAGAGAGATGCCTAACAAATAACACAAAGCATAAACAAACAAAGCTGATCATAATTATTATGGTCTAACTTCCCCACCCAATATAGGCTCAGTCCACACCACATCATAATGAATCACAGTGTCACACTAAAAGCTAAAACAGTCTATGGCCCCTTTGATACTTCAATTACCTACAAACTGTTGTGTCAAGCTTCTCTCATCACTGAGCTGTCTAGCATGAGTATATACACAGATATATATATACAATGATAATGGTAGGTTGGTCATGAACAATATTCATATCTGGTTTGTAAGCCAACAAAATGAGACTTTTAACAAAGTATAATCACGAACATGTATATTTTTAGAATTATTTGTAATACAGCCAATTGCAATAATAATTATTAATATTTATTAATACAAACTCTCTCCTTCCTAATAATAATTGGCTCCTTCCTTTTAGAAGAGATATAATACTAAGTACTATGTGCATGTACATGTACGTGTGTAGCAATCACTGTAACAATAAATGTGATTATGTAATACTTTATTATATGAAAATTCATCCTGTAACTATCAGAGCTTTCAAATAATTAATCATAAAATTGTACATGTACATGTATGTTTACATGTACATGTAAATGCATAAATTTAAAGCATAACATATGAATCCTTCTAATACAATGAGGTGGGAAGATAGCGACCATTACATGTAACATGTTATGATCACATGAGCCATTAGGAACCATCATTTAGATACTGCATATGCTCACACTGTTAGAAGTGTGACCATCAACAATACACCAGAACTGATAATATCAGCTAAGAGGTTCATGTAATCAACCACTTGATTGATAAACACATGAGACACAATTTATGCTATACACATAAATGAGGACATTACATGTATACGTACAAATAAATCTTTACTTAATGCATGATTCCTTGTTTTTTAATGTACAGTGTATAGCCTCTATATAATAGACATTTTGTTACAAGACAGTTGCTCTGTTATACAGAAGTGTCCTTTATGTGGAGGTTATTTTACACAGTAAGGAATGTAATTGGTACACTAGGTGCTGTCCGTTAAATGGAGGTGTATGCTATAGAGAGTGTCCATTAAGAGAGGCTATACTGTATGCATGTATGCATGTCAATTAATGTACATGTGAAGGTACATTTACTCTTTCTTTTCTCTCTCTCTCTCTTACCTTCTTTAATTTCAAATTGAACTAGCTTTGCTGTTTCTACCCCACTTGGTGTCCTTCCAATTATCATGACAGTATGGATCCCCAGGGATAGATGAACTAAGAGTAAGAATGAGAATAAGAATAAGAATAAGAATAAGAATAAGATGGAATAAGGGCTGAGAGAGAGGAGAGAGGGGGAGAGAGAGGGAGAGAGAGAGAGGGAGGGAGAAAGGAAAGAGAGAGAAAGAGAAGGAGGGTAATAACAATGTATTAACATTTTAATACACCAGTAGCAAAGTATAGGAGAGGGTAAGTAAACACTGTGGTCTTATTTATCCTTTCACAATATGAGAGAGATAAACAACCAAGTAATAATAATAACAATAATAATACATCGTCAGATAAAACTTATGTACACGTACTAAAGAACCATTGAGAGCCATTAAGAAACAGCACAATAATGATGAAGGACAGTATAAAATGCTGTGATTCACTAAAATCTTCCTCTTCTGAAAGAAGAGGTTCATCAGATCATTCCTCTCCTCCTCCTGCTATTCTGAGGTGGATGTATCTTTGTATGGAGGTACAGATCGAGGTAGCTCCATTGGGAGCTCGATTGTGATTCATTCCACGTGATAGCACGAGTTTAAAGTATACTAAAGTAAATCTAGGTATACGGAGACAGATCAATCAAAGGAAGAGTTTTTCTCTCTGTTATTCTTCATCATCAGTGGATCAAGATGAAAGAAAATTACTTGCTGGCTCCTACTGGCTAGTTAGAATATTGTTCATTAGATCATTTTCAGCTATTTACTGTAAGTATAGTCATCTGGTGGTTGTGAGGTTGAGGGTGGTTGGACAAGTTTCAATTACATGTAATTACGTTAAGACTATTAGATGTACTGTAGTGTAGTTGACTAGTTCAGTGTCCAAATTATCATTGAACTTTTACCACAATTGATCATATCAATGTCCCCGTTACAGCTTCTTAATAAGTAATATACTAAAATTTAATATACTAAAAAATAGAGAAGGAGGCAATATCCCAGATCTCTCTCCCACAGGGGGAGATTTTAGTATTATTTATTATTAATTTTAATTTTAGTACTATTTATTATAGTTTTTTTTTTATTTAGTTTATTATTATTATTATTATTATTTTAGTATTATTGATTATTATTTTTTATTATTAATTTTTATTTTAACAAACTTTAAATCAGTAAATTTGTACGTGGCATGTATACATGTACATGTACATGTAATTAATTTCAGTTAATGATGATAAGCTGTACCAATTTACATGTTTGTGTATGTCCCTTTAAAATTGCAGCAGCACCACCATATTTTGTATTTTAATTTAATGTCAGGTAGTAGATTATGTTACATTTAGATGTAATTTTTATTTATTTCTCATTGTTTTGCTAGTTATTAAAAGGAGTTATTAATACGGACAGTCACTTGTCTCATAACATAATTCAGTTAAAAGACTCAATTGATGATATTTTACCAAGAAGTAATACTACCCTGCTTCATTTTTATCACCTTTTGTCAACGAGATTGAGCATATTTGTTCAAAATGAATCAATACATGTTATTAGTGAGTTATTATTAATATTTCTTACATGTATAATACAATTACAAACCTGATGTACTTGCATAATGCATAATACATATTAATGTACTTATGCTGTGTTGAAAGTTTGAGCTGATTCCGACTTATATTTTTCGACTTATGACCATTTTTTTAAATGCCAAAATTTGGAAAAATACTCAATGCTATAGCCCATGGTTTTTCCAAAAAATGGCTCCGAAATCATCACCAATTTGTATTACTTTTTCTGATACATATTGATGTCCTTATGCTGTTTTAAAAGTTTGAGCTGATTCCGACTTAAATTTCTCGACTTATGACCATTTTTTAAAAACTCCAAATTTCGGAAAAATACCCAAGGCTATAGCCCATGGTTTTTTCCAAAAAATGGCTCCGAAATTATCCCAAATTTTTATTACATTTTTTGATACATATTGATGTCCTTATGCTGTGTTGAAAGGTTGAGCTGATTCCGACTTATATTTTTCGACTTATGACCATTTTTTATAAACTCCAAATTTCGGGAAAAATACCCAAGGCCATGGTTTTTTCCAAAAAATGGCTCCGAAATCATCCCAAATTTTTATTACATTTTCTGATGTATATTGATGTCCTTATGCTGTTTTGAAAGTTTGAGCTAATTCCAACTGAAAATTTTGAGTTGTGGCCATTTTAAAAATTATCCAATTTTCAAAAATTACTCTGTACTATAGCCCATGGTTTTTATGAAAAATGGCTCCGAAATCACTCCCAATTTTTATTACATTTTCTGATACTTATTAATGTACTTATTAATGTACAACTTATATATACATTGTACATGTACATGTATACTTTTTATTATTTTATTTTATTATTGTCTGCTCTTGGTACAGGGTCCTCCCACTGTTGCTAAAGGAGACGGTGATCTGTCTTGTTTTAGTGTCTTCAGTGTAAGTGAAGGGAATCAGAAAGAGGAGGAGGAGGAGGAGGAGGAGAAAAGGCGTCAATCACTTGTAGAACAAGAGCTATTATTAGATAATGTTTATAGACAGGTATTTATTTATTATTATTATTATTATTATTTATCAGAGTCATCCCCAGCTTTGCATCTACATGTACATGTGGCTTTTTATTTCCGAGCCATTTTTTACGAAACATGAATTTTGGAGCCTTTTTAAAGAATTAATCAGCATAATACATGTATGTACATGTACATGCACATAAAATTCTAATTGGGGCGAGCATGAGCGAGACCCACTCTAATCTGTCTAGGTCTATTTTGCGTTACGTCTTGTTTGTGAACGGAAGAATACGAAAATTAAATTAGTATACTATTGATAAATTTGGACCATGTGGGCAAAATTAATTTAGAGGGTGTGGTCAAAAAGAACAAGATTAAGATGGCAGAAATTTTAACGTGACAAACTCAGATTGAGTTTCTAACAGATTGATAAGAGAGAGGGGCTGTCTAAAGCACCCTAAAGGCTGTGTTAACTGGTGTGTTTGCTCTGTTCAGACCCCGGCCATGAGGCTGGGGTCTGAATATGCATGCAGGCTAAGAGCTGGATTGATTTTATTTAGTTCAATCATAATTCAATTGTTAATTCAGGCCCGTAGTCAGGGGGGGTTTGGGGGGTTCAGACGAACCCCCTGTTGTAGCTGCAAAAAAGTTTTAGATTAGCTCCTGTCATGAAGAACAGCACTGCAAAAGCAGGATTAGCATTTTGGCAGCAGCGAGAAGCACAGATAGCCATTTTAGCTGAGTCAGCACATGGCTGAGATGCGTAACTCAAAACCACGCCTACCTACCACGCCCATTTTTGTTAAAATTTTTGCTGCGCGCTTCGCGCGCAGCAATTTCCGAACCCCCTATTTCAAGTTCCTGGCTACAGCCCTGTAATTGATGGCTCATGCTCACTCCTTCAATGTTTACATTCACCTAGTATTTTATTTTCTATTTATTTTATACATGTACTGTAGGCAAGAGAGCTATTTGATGATAAGCCTCATCAACACATCACTAATGACACTACACCAACTGTCTCTGACAAAGCCACACCCACCATCACCATGGCAACCAATAATCACCACAAAAGTGCTGACTCATCAAAATCATTGATTACGACACCTATGTAAAATTATGATGCCTAAGAGTACCATTACTATAGCAACCAACACTGGGCGGAGTCTACTTTTTAATGACACTCCCACTTGCAATCGGAGTATTTAAGTGTCTGACTTTAATAAGGAAGGTTCTGGTGTTTCCATAGCAACACCAGCCGGTTCTAGGTATGGCTCATCACTCTCTCCTCACTCTTTAAGGATGCTCTCCGATACTGTTTTCATGGCAACAGGAGCTGATAGGATGATACCGTATAAGTGGTTTTTTTCGAGGGAATTATATTTCACGAAATCTGCTAAAATTCCAATTCGCGGAATTTAATTTCGCGAATCCTACCACGTGTGCCATGCAGGTACCGTATTAAATTGATTTTCGTGGATTTTATTTTTGCGAATTAGGAGGGAATCCACGAAATTTGCAACCCTCGAAAAAAACCACTTATACAGTAAATTTTGGTAGCTTTAGTGACGGGTTTGGGGCGTGGCTTCTAGTTGCTATGACGACAGCGAATGTGATGCTTTTGTGGATTAAGAAAAAGTAAGAACATGCTACAATGTGCTTGTACATGTAAATAATTTATTATTATTTATTATTAATACATGTACATGTAACACTGTTATAGAGACGTATACAAAGTCTTTTGGATGCTTCTCCTCCTCCTCCTTTGACTCCACCCACTTCATCATTAACTGACAGGAAATACACTGATACTTCCTTACTGCCGTTTTCTAAAATACAGTAAGTGCGGTACATGCTTAACAGCATTTTCTGATCCATGTGTGTGCATATACATGTACATGTACTTATATTGCCTTGAAAGTTTGAACTGATTCTTATTTTTACAAAATTCTAAAGTGACTCTAAATACATGCAGACTCATACAGAACTTTTGGCAGGTAAACTAATATGCATAAGGATATCAATATGTATCAGAAAATGTAATAAATCCTCTCTCTCTCTCCCTCTCTCTACTACACTCTCCTTTTATCTCCTCTCCTTTCTCTCCCTCCTCCCTTCTCCTCTCCTCTCAGATTCCAGCTGAACAAGGTCAGACTTATGCATCAGAAGTTAATGCCATATTTGGAGAGACTAGTGCCCTCACTGCTAGGAATGCTGAGGAAATGTTCATTGAAATAAGTGAGTAGCTACTAATGATGTACTGTAGTATGTACTATTGTAACATAATCTCTCTCTCTCTCTCTTGTCTCATAACTCGTAAGTTACCACCAGATTGTTTAACTAGTTTACCAGCTGGTGCCTCTCTCTTAAGACAGACTGATACACCACGTGCTAAGGGAGGATGCTGTGGAGGAGGGGGAGGGGACAAAGAACCATCATAATAGTTCAGTTATAATAAGATAATAAATTAATGATTATTATTATTATTATTTTAATAACAACTGACACTGCTTG